TGCTATTTCAGCAGGAAGCTGGAGGTCAGGGGTTTCCAACTATTCAGTCCCTAGTAAGAAGGGGGGGGGCAAGTAGATTATGAGTAGAATTCCAAATTCCATATACTGGCTTCTTCCTTCCTGAGATTTTTACTGCAAAGGCAGTATGTGCCCTCAGGGAAAGAAACTGAATTCCCTTAGGTACCTGATGACTTGGAAACCCTGAAGCGAGTTGCCTGGGCATCCTGGTGCCCTGCACACTGTCAGATCACTAAGAGGCAGAACATGGTTGGAAATGTGCAGGTGTTATATCTGGCAAAATATTAAGAGGTGTAGAAATCAGATCTTCAGAGAAGTACATAGTTCTGGGATTTTTATAAATAAAATGGGAAAATACAATGAATTCACTTTATAGTCTATCCTTTAAAAGTTTTATTTGAATACAGTGGACAGGTACTGAATTTGATCATTTTTTTCTATGAGTTTGTTTATTTTTGTTTAATCTCTTCAGTTTTTCATCCAATCCCCTAAACCCATCCCATCTGACAGCTCTCAATCTGTACTCTGTCTCTATAAGTCTGTTCTATTTTATTTGTTAGTTTATTTTGCTTATTAGGTTCCACATATAAGTGAAATTATATGTTATTTATTTTTCTCTGACTTAGCATAATACCATCTAAGTCCATCCATTCTATTTCAGAAGGTAATATTTACTTCTTCTTCTTTTTTTTTTTTTTTTTTTTTTTTTTTTTTTTTTACAGCCAAGTAGTGTTCTTTGGGTAAATTTATCAGAGTTTATATCAATTCATCTGTTAATGGACACTTGGGCTACTTCCAAATTTTGGCCATTGTAAATAAAACTGCAATATATTTAGGGGTGCATATACCTTCTTTCAAGTCAGTGTTTTGGGTTTCTTCAGATATAGTCCCAGAAGTGGAATCATTGGGTCATAAGACAGTTGAATTTTTACTTTTTTGAGGAAACTCCACAGTGGTTGCATCAGTTTGCATTTCCCCCAGCAGTGCACAACGGTTCCTTTTTCTCCATATCCTCACCAACATTTGCTATTTGTTAATTTATTGATAATAGCCCTTCTGAAAGGTGTGAGGTGATATCTTATTGTGGTTTTAATTTGAATTTATCTGATAATTAGTGATGCTGAGCATCTTTTCATATGTCATTGGCCATCTGCAAGTCCACTTTGGAGAAGAATCTATTCAAGTTCTTTCTCCATTTTTTAATTGAATTGTTTTTCTGGGGTTAAATTTTATAAGTTCATTATTAAATTTGAATGTTAACTCTTTATAAGATGTATCATTGGTGAATATATTCTCCCATTCAGGAGGCTGTCTTTTAATTTGCTTTTAAGAAAACACAGGGTGAACAAAGCACAATCAGAAATGTGATAGATGAGCTCAGCTCTGCCTACTGCTCTTGGTTTACTGGTCCCTCGGGAACTGCCTGGAGAGCTCCATAGGAAAGATATTTTTAGATTGTAGGCAGCTGAAGTGCTATAGTGAGATCACTGATTAATCTTTAAACTGTACTGTGTGCTATTGTGTTGTATTTTAGAGTCCTATTTATCTACTTTTTACTGCTGGCATAAGATATAAGGTCACATTTATAAATATTAGCAAACAGCACCACAACAGAAGGTATAGAAAGACTACTGGAAATACTAAATCTTTGGTCTATTATATAACTATAAATTAAACTGAAGTCCACTATTAAGCTAACAATCGTGTGTGTATGTGTGTGTGTGTGTGTGTGTGTGTGTGTGTGTGATTATGCTATTCTGTATTGGAAAGATCACAGGATAGAAGACCTTGCATGAATTTAAAATAATATACAGAAAAGTAATTAGTGTGACTACAAACAAGAGCACACTTTCTTCGGTTTAATTCTTTCTGGTTCATAAAAAATTCCATCATGGATAAAATATTGAATTCCAGGGGAATTTGAATATCTGTGTTATTGTGCTGCATTGCCCAAAAGTTTTTTCTCTCCATATTATACAGGAGAAATAGCTGTTGGAATTTAGGGTTTGATGGGCAGGATATTTGGGAAAGTACTCTGGGCACGCATAGAGAATGTGTGTGTGTTTACTTTTGTAATTTTATATCCAGTATGAAGATACATAATATAATTATATTCTAATTTCCTTATAAAGTATATAACTTTTCTTGCTAGTGATATGGGGACAGACTTTTAGCTTTACAAGAGATGCCTAGCAGGTGCCTCTGCATATGGAAAATGAAGAAATCTCTGATAGAGTCAATAAGTAAATATAGTGAGAATAACAACTAAATTAAGGAATTCCCCACAAAGCAAGAGTATCCTTCTTATATTTGAATACCATCATCATTTATTGACAGTAGTTTATTTAGATATCTATTTGGTATTAAGTTTAACAACACAAATGATGCAATGGACCATGATATGCAAAGTCCAAGGAAATCCAAGTATATAAAGATTATCCTACCATTTAGATTTATAGGTTATGTCATCCGTCATATCTACAGAAAAAAATAATGCTCAAATATTTTAACTGTAACTGAAGAGTGAGCAATTTAAGGAAATAGCAACATTTATACCCAAACCTAACATTACATTATACTATAGGAAATCATGAAATAAAGTAAAAGTTAGCAATATATGATGCTACTTTGTTTTGCTTTCTTGGGAAAGTAGTACACTTCACCATAGTCTTTAAGTGAAAACATCACCTGAAAATAAAATATATTGCTAAATATTTTCCAGCATGAAAAAGAGGTACATATGCATATATTTCTTTCCTTAATATTTTGAAGTGCCCCACAATTCAGACTTTATTATCTTTAAAGAGAAAAGTGGGATTTTGAAGGTTATGTGGAAAACTACAATTATCCATTTTTAGCTACTGTTGAGCATATTATTTTTATATGTGATATACAACAAGAATATTGGTCTTTTTACCACCAAATAATACTGCACCTGTAGGCAACTGTGGAATGTAACTTTGCCAGCAGCAGGGACTCGAGGAAAAGACAAGCACAGAAATGTGCCCTTTATAATTAAAGTCATCAATCTATGAGTGTAAGGGTTGCTTTCCATAACTGGTTATCAGATTTCAATAATATTTGACTATCCAGAGAATTAACACAGTACATAAAAATAATGTTATATAAATGGCTGTTACAGTTAATGATGCATCTCTTGTCTCCATTACTGGCTTTATTTAATCTTTTAAAAATGGAACTCTGCATAAGGATGCAACAAACCATTGCAAAGTTATTGCCAGTTTACTCATCTTCCAAATTTTGGCAGTCTTTTGATCACATATAAAGCATCCGATGTTTCATGTCCTTGACCAGGTAAAGAATCTGATATCTGCCAAAACCGGTTTGGCTCAGTGGATAGAGTGTCAGCCTGTGGACTGGGGGGTCCCGGGTTCAATTCCAGTCAAGGGCATGTACCTTGGTTGCGGGGACATCCCCAGTAGGGGGCGTGCAAGAGGCAGCTGATCGATGATTCTCTCCCATCGATGTTTCTAACTCTGTATCCATATCTCTTCCTCTCTGTAAAAAATAAATAAAAATATATTTAAAAAAAAGAATGTGATATCTTCTAGCACATGATAAATTATACATTGAATTTCTACTACAGGGTGTTTGAAAGAAATGTATACTTATACATTGTTTTATTTGTTCACAATCTGTAGACTTCTTATACTCTGAACTGATAAACTTTGCACATATTGAAGATATACTGTTTATTTCAGAACTAAGTTTTGCTGTAGAAAGTCCATTTTTAGATGTTTAGAGACATCACATTGTGCCATATGTTGCTTTCTGCAGTGTAACGATGTGATGCACCTTCATGATGAAATCTGGCCTTCTTCCAAAGAAGAAAAGTGGTATCATCCTTCTGGCTAACTGTGAAATCTCCGTTTGCACAGTGTCTTACCCAGCAGAAAATGAGCATTCTTCATGGACAGGTTGCTTTAGGGCTTTAAGGCAAAGAGAGGGGATTCAATTCTATGCCAACTTAGTGGCTGGTTAATTGCCAGGTCTGAAATAGTTCACCTTTTTTTTTTTCTTTTTGAGGGGAAAGATAAACTTTCCAGTCACATATCCAAAAGCAATTACTAGGTTTTATGTTATTTTCAGTGTTAACATGCTTTTGCCGGCTTCTATAAACATCCCCTGAAGAGTTGTGCTGTTGTTTGGCAGGATTTTTCTAATAACCCAGGAGTCAGAGCAAGGTGACATGCTTATGGTCATTGTTTTCATTATTTAAGTTTTCATTGATGGAGAACTCCATGATTATAAGAAATACTAGCGCTTTTTGGGAAAAAAAAAGACATGTACTATGTCTTACACATTTACTTTTGTAAGGCTGTTTCATATGGATAGTAATTTGATGAAATATTTTTGTAAACATTTTTGAAAATGATAACATACTGCTTATCAATATATGACATATGTTGTAGAAATAATAGGACACTGGCATCTGATTTAAATAAGCCAAACACGAATGATGTAAAAGAAAAAGGAGCCCTACATCTCTCACAGCACAGGGGGCCAGCTCTCACTAGTGTCATGGCAGCCCAAGGAAACACAGTGCTGCAGAGAATTCTAACTAGTTCCCTAAATATTGTACTGGAGGGGGAAATGAGAGTAATCTTCCTGTGTATGCTTTCTTTGAAACTTCCGTCTCAGAGTTGATCAATAATGAAGAGATGTGGTGAGGTCCATGGGCAGCCCAGTGCTTTCCAGAGATTCTCAGAGCTACTTAGTAGGGACTGTTGGCCCTGGTGATTGGAGATTATTGACCCCTATGTGCATTTCACATATTAAGGGATAAATATACCTTTAAAAATTATCACTTCAGTTTTTGTGATCTCTTTTATTTTATTCAGATGATTTTAGTTAGAAAAGATCCAATTTGAAAGATAGGTTTTTGTTCCCTTTCTCATTAACCATTTACTCTTCAAATACAGTTTCTTTGCATACTCTTGTTTTTTGACATTGATTATTTCCTGGGATAATGGTTGGGAATGTTTATATATTCCAGCTATGGTTAAAACTAGTTTTGAATCTCAATTGTGACACTTGATTGGGGGTGATACTTAAAACTACAATGAGGTACCACTTCACACCTGCCAGAATGGCTATTGTCAATAAATTAATAAACAAGTGCTGGCAAGGATGTGGAATAAAAGGAACCCTGTGCACTGTTCGTGGAGTGCAGATCAAGGCAGCCACTATGGAAAACATTATTGCATTTCCTCCAAAAATTAAAAATGGAACTGCCTTTTGACTCAGGCAGTGATTCCACTTCTGGGAATATATCCTAAGAATCCCAAAACACCTATTAGGAAGAATATGTGCACCCCTATGTTCATAGCAGTGTTATTTACAATAGCTAAAATCTGGAAACAGCCCAAGTGCCCATCAACAGGTGAGTGTATAAAAAACTGTGGTACATTTACACAATGAATACTATGCAGCTATAAAAAAGCAAGCAAGCAAACAAACAAACAAAAATAACACACATACACACACACACAAAACAGACAAACAAAGACCAAAAAACAAAGAAGGAAGTCTTACCCTTTGATATGGCATGGATAGACCTGGAGAGTATTATGCTAAATGAAATAAGCCCGTCGGGGAGAGACAAATATCATGTGATCTCACAAAGTAAACTGACAAAGAAAATGGAGCCAGAAGCATGAATATATGGAACAGACTGGCCAATGCCCAAGATGGGGGTTTGGGGACAATTGGATAAAGAAGTTGAAGGAAATATTTAAAGAAAATATGTGGGGCCCAGCTGGCTTGGCTCAGTGGATAGAGTGTCGGCCTGAAGGCTCCAGGTTTGATTCTGGTCAAGGGCACATGCCAGGGTTGTGCGCTCCATCCCCAGTAGAGGGCCTGGCCTGCAGGAGGCAGCCAATCAATGATTCTCTCTCATCATTGATGTTTCTAGTTTCCTCTCCCTTTCTCTCTGATATCAATAAAAATATTTTCTCTAAAAAAGAAGAAAATATATATAGGCTACTCCTTTAAATTACTGATGCTTCAGTGTTATCATCTTTTAAATGGGTATGATAGTGACACTAAATTACTGTATTAAATTCAGTAATTCTGAAGCAATGGTATGCTTGACATGGAGTACTCATTTTCTAAACAGTTTTTATTATTATTTTTGGTTAACAACAAATATGGTGGAGTTTTTCAACTGATACTTACATCTTTTGAGATTTTTTCCCTTGTTTTTTATAAGGTCACACAGACTTTCCCAACTACATGTTGCTCCAAATGCCATGCACTCTCTCTTTCTCTTGCCTCAGCTGACATGACTCTCTTCAGGTGTAGGGATTCCCCACCCCAAAATGCCCTTCCCATTGGCTTTCTGGGTAAAGAGTGCAGATCTAAACACCTGTTGCTTATATTTTCTGAAGCCTTTCTAGGATGTTCTTGGAATATTAGATACTGGCTTTCCTTAGACCACGTCTAGCATGGTGAATTAGTCAGAAATGGGTAATTGTTTTTGTTTGTATGGTGAACCCTTTGTTGATGTCCTGAGGTACAGTGTGCAATGAGTACAGAGATGATTGAGCTTATATATACACAATATTAATTGAGCAGATGTGCAGAGGGATTACTGAACTTTAATAATCTGCCCATCTCTCTGAGAACATCTCTGGCTCCTATTCATGATTCCATTCCCAAATATAGAAAATCTCTAAGTTTGTGCTTGTAGTCTTTAGTTTTTCTCTATAATCCATCCTTAGTCATAACTCTCCATTTCCAAAGCTTCAAATGATACCCGGTGGATGATTCCCTAATCACCTCAATCTTTTTCTACCCCAGAATCTTTTTATATCTGTTTCCTTAATATTTCAACAAAATCAAACAGTTCTATCTAAAGTTATGCATTTCCACTCCACATTCTTTCCCTTTCCCTGCTAGCCATCCAACACAAACATTTTTTTGAAGCAACACTTTTTTCTTTCATATCACCAACCCTTAAAGATTATAAATCAAATAATTATTACATCACTAGAGGCCCAATGCACAAATTTGTGCATGGGTGGAGCCTGACTGGCCCACCCAGATTGGGGCCATTGGGGCCAGCTAGGGGGAGGGCTTGCAGGAGGTTGGCTGCTGACCCTGCCTCCAATTGCGGTCAATCAGAGCTGGTCCAGGGAGGGGTGGGAACATGGGAGATCAGTTGGCCTTGTCACCAATTGGGGGGGGGGGTGATTGGGCTTGGGGCAAGCTGGGGGAAGGACTGTAGGAGGTTGGCCAGCTGGCCCTGCCCCCATCAGGCTGGTTGGCTGGCTGCAGTGCACATCATTGTGATTAGGTCTTCTGGTTGCTTGTTATATATATATATATATATATATATATATATATATATATATATATATATATATATATTATACTTTTGTAGGACTCCATTGCTCACAAAGCTCTTTAACAAATGTTATTTCACTGCACACTTTTAAAATCTTCAGGTAATATTATTATTCCCTAAATCTACATAATTTATAATATTAGCAAGAACTACCATTTATTTTGTGCCCACTTTTGCTTTCCACAAATAATTTCATCCTTATAACAATGCTATAAGGTTTTTATTTTTTACAGAAGGGGTAACTGAAATTCAGAGGTTAGAGAATGTGAAATAGCCTTTTAACTGAACTTTCCTCATTAATACCTTCATTCCTGAGTCCTGCTTTGTAAACAGATGCCTATATCATTATCTATGATGCTGCCAGGATGATGGCATCACTCACCTGAATACACTTTTTCTGATGCTGCCTGAAAATAATGGGTATTTCTTACCTTAGCAATTAAAGTTCAGAACAGTGTTGTCCTAAATGGCATTTCAAACTTTATGTCAGATTTTCTAATATTCTATGGTACATCATATCTGAATTTAACTCTCCACCATAACATCCCCATTGCAGCATTCATTTTTATTTATGCAAGTAAGTGTCTAAAAAAGTTTTCCCTATATTCTGCTGTGAGCTTCTAGATCTGTCTCTGGTAACACTTTATGAAAGAATTTTTACCCCATCAAGCAGATATGACTGGCCATTTCTTCCCATGGTATTTGAACTTTCTCAAGGTGCATTGTAGATTCCATCTCATATTTTAGTTTTAACTTTTTTCTTGTATCTAAACTATTCGGTGAATGTTTCAAGATTTATATAGCATTCTGTATATTGCATATTATTGGCTAAATTAAATTATATTATATAAGCCTGTTTTATAGAAATGATCTAAGTCCAGTAAAAATAACTATTAAAATATATTCAATTTATAAAAATCCAGGCTTTGGAGTATATATTACCAATGGTACTCTAAATCATGGATATTGAAGTGGGAGGAATAGTGTTAATGGAATCAAGTTTCTATTGGAGTTTAGGCACCGGAAATTAAAAAAAGAAAGTAAAGAGAAAGGAGTACAAAGCTTTGGTAGATATGGGAAAAACTGAACAAGTATCATTTCTAACAGGGAAATGTGCACAGCACCCATTTACTGGCTGCCACCTCAGCATTTCCTAACTAGATACCACCCTGTGCAATGTGAAGCACACTCAAATTCTCAGGGGATTTCTTCTAAAATCCACACACAGCTTTTGTCTTTGTCATTGAAAAATGTTAACTACCCCAAGGCTATAATATCTTGTTAGGAAACATAGGCACTTTTACTTTCTGATTCCCAATGTTAATATTAATGTAATATCTAGCATATAAATCTACTATATACATCATGTCAAGGAAAAATATATTAAAATTGAAAATTTCACATTTATATCTTTATTACACTCAGATAATATTTTCTATTTATAATACATATACATAAACAAATACATATACATATACATATACATATGCATGCGTGTGCAAAACTGGAACATTAGTTTAACAAATCACATTATTTTACAATAGACATAACAACACAAAAAAGAGAAAATGGAAGTAGTATTATTTTCTTCTTTGTTTAAAAGAAAATAATATCCTATCACATTGACTTTACATCACCTTTATTTTTTTATTTTTCCAGTTTGAATCCATCCTCATTAAATTCATCCACAGTGATTTTTATTTTTACTTTTTTATTTTATTGAGTTTTTACAGAGAGGAAGGGAGAGGGATAGAGAGTTAGAAACATCGATGAGAGAGAAACATCAGCCAGCTGCCTCTTGCACACCCCCTATTGGGGATGTGCCCGCAACCAAGGTACATGCCCTTGACCGGAATCGAACCTGGGACCTTTCAGTCCGCAGGCCGATGCTCTATCCACTGAGCCAAACTGGTTTCGGCCCACAGTGATTTTTAAAAAAGAAAAAAATAGTGTAGGGGAAAGAATATTATGGAAAATAGTTTTGTTTGCTACTCTGATCCCCAAAGTAGCAATGACATACAAAACTGGTCCAAATTTATACATTCTATTGTTTAGGGAACTGTTTCCTGCATCATACAACCTGTATGAATGGAATTTCCTACAGCCCTAAGGGTAAGTCCTTTTTTAAAAATTTATCTTTATTGCTATAAGTATTACAGATGTCCCCTGTCCTTTCCCCGAAGGATCTTTATAAAATTTAAAGTTCAGTTCACTTTGTTTCACAGGTAACATTGGGAAGCAGTAAACACATGAATATTATCTCCAATGACACATAGGTTTATTTATCTGTAGATTCAAGGCATGTTCCCATCCCAGACTAAAACCATTTTACTATTCTGAGTGTGATTCCACCTATGAACAGCTGGACATTTGGATCATATGCTGGGCTCCAAAGTATTGGTTCTCAAGCACGGTGCCTTTCTGATGACATTTTCAAGTAGTATGTTGTAGTCATGAGAACAGCACTCTGCAAGGGTTACCTACTTAGCAGGGGATCCCTGTCTCCACACTGATCTTCAAAGTAGTAGTTGGAGGTCCTAAGAGTCCTCTAGCTGCTTCTTTGTTAACCCAACTACTAACTTAAGCTACATTTCCTACATTTATGATTGCTTTAACTCAGAAATTTCATTTCTATTTGTAATTCAATAATGTGAAATAGTTCATTGCTAGTGTTAATACACACAATGCCTTACTTACAGACATTGATGTGAACATTATGTCAAGTCTTCATCCTACAGGTAAAACAGGTATCTGATCAGTTAAAAATCAGATGTTTTTCTTGTGATCCATTCCCTGCCCCAAGGATAAATGGGAACACATTGCAGATGGCCCAGGCTCTGGCAGCAATGTTAGCAAGAGAGAACGTAGCCATAAGCAAGCCTTAGAGCACCTTGGCTTGTTTAAAAAAGTGTGTGCACCTCTAATTGTTCTCAATCTTCTTGTCCTGCTTCAGCTGACCTAAGTGACCTTAAGGTATTCTTTGGCTTAAGCCACAAAATCTGAGGAGTTTAAAGCACCTCAGTATTTTTCCCAATAATTCCCCCCCCCCATCCGTACCCCTGTGTGATAACACTATTGGGTTACATTCTTTTGAGTTGAATTCTTAGGGTACAATATTCATATGACACCCCATATAATAGAAGTGTAATGTACAAATCCACCAAACAGCAGAGCGACCATTTGGCAGGGTCAAGTCCAGCGAGCAGGTGGTTTTAGGCCAGCTAAGGAGCATGCCAGTGGGCAGAGGGAGGGAGCAATGATGGGTGAGGAGGGGAGAGTGACCAGCAGTGGGGGAGGGGCAATGTTGGGTGGGGATGGAAGGTGGGATGCCATCCCCTGATAGGCCACCTACAGAGGGAGGCCAGACTGTGGCTTAGGCCTACTCCCCACAAGTAATGGGCCTAAGCCATCAGTAGGACATTGCCCAAGGGCTCCTGGATTGTGAGAGGGAGCAGGCCAGGCTGAAGGATGCCTGCCACCCCTCAAGTGCATGAATTTTCATGCACCAGGACTCTAGTCCTATATAATAAAAGAGTAATATGCAAATTGACCATCACTCCAACACACAAGATGGCTGTTTCCATGTGGGCAAAGATGGCTGCCACAAGATGGCCAGCAGGGGAGGACAGTTGGGAGAGACCAGGCCTTTAAGGTATGGTAGTTGGGGATGTTCAGGCCAGCAGGGAAAGGCAACTGGGAAGGACCAAACCTGCAAGGGAGGGCAGTTGTGAGAGATCAAGCCTATAGGAAAGGGCAGTTAGGGATGACCAGGCCTGAAGAGGAGGGCAGTTAGGGGCAAACAGGCTGGCAGGAAAGCAGTTAGGCATCAACCAGCCTGGCAGGGGAGTGGTTAGGGGGTGAGCAAGTTGGCAGGCAGAAGTGGTTAGGGGCAATCAGGAAGGCAGGCAGAAGAGCAGTTGGGCACCAGCAGTCCTGGATTGTAAAAGGGATGTTCAACTGCCCTTGAGAGGTCCCAGATTTGATAGGGTGCAGGCTGGCCTGAAGACACCCCACCCTCTGTGCACGAATTTCATGCACTGGGCCTTTAGTACTATTATAATAATATGACACTTACTCCAACAACATACTGATTAGAGCTGATAGTACACATATAAACAGACCCAGATAACAGAGAGGCTAAATTCTTGCAGTTTCCTTAAATCCTTATCATTGACTGCATTGGGGAGCTCAGAGCTGCCATATGCTAAGTTCTCTGTGAGGAACATTAGCGATAACACCTGGAGGACAGCCACCTCAGGTACTTGGAGAGAAGGTCAGATTATAAAAGAAAAGGTCAGATTATAAAAGAAAAGAAACATACATACCATTAACATTTTTTAAACCAGAAGATTAGGCCTGACCAGTGTGGTTCAGTGGTTGAACATCAATTTATGAACTAGGAGGTCTGAGTTTTATTTAGAGTCAGGGCACATGCCCAGGTTGTGGGCTCGATCCACATTAGGGGGCATGTAGGAGGCAGCCAAATAATGATTCTCTGAAATCACTAAAATATATATTTTGAAAAAAAGATTAGAACAAAATATAAATACAAGGAATTGGTTTTCTGATCCTAGATTTTATACCATAAAGGGGGTATTAAAAGAGGATAAATAGAGGAAGTTTAAAAGTATGCTAATACAGTCACCTTAAAACAAGGAGTGAATGGATAATATAATTTTTAATATTGATAACAAAATATAGGTTCAAACAAAATAATTATTTTTTTTAAAATTAAAAGGACCAACTTACAGAAAGCAAAATCAATTATATTAGAAATAGTCCATAAATCAAAGGACTAAAAATAAATAGAAACAATGATAATAAAAAGTAAATAATTAAATTGATATAAAAATAAGAGAAATCTTATCAGTTATGACAATAAATATAAGTGAATTAAGTGCAACATAAATTCATAATAAAGGCTATCAAAATATGTAAAACTCAAGTGGTAAGGGTTAACATCAAGAAAATTGATATATACCATTCAAATGAAAACATGACTAAAAATAATTACTTGTCAAACAATTAGTATGAAGATAGCTGAATGAATACATTAAAAAGTCAGATTATCAAACAAAATTTGTTTTAAAAATTGAATTTCTAGAGACTAAATACTAAAATATAAAGAGGACTAATAAATAATCTATAATAATAAAAAGCATAATATGCTAATTAGACCAGATGGCCAAACAGCGGAATGACCTCTGAATTTCATGCATCGAGACTCTAGTGATATTATAAATGTTTATATCATTTTAACGTGAATTACTCTTACAAATTATAAAAATCAGAAAATTATGCTGTAAAATGTTAAAGTTTATATTATATATGCATATATGTGTATGTAAAAGCAAAAGTAAAAGCAAAATAAACATAGAAAAGCATGTATAGCATATGACTTATAAGCTATTAATCGTATGTAATAAATATCAAATAAAAATTAATATTACACATACAGAAAGATTTGAGTATTTCAGGAGGAAATAAGCAATAGAGATTAAGATTAATAAAGCTTGAAAATAATTAAATGAGAAATATAAAAAAGAAAATATGAAATATGCTCAACCAAAGAACAATAAAACTAAAAGGAACTTTCCCATATTAAAATAAATTTTTCAAAATGATACATTAGTCTTGTGTTATAGGAACAATCCCTTTCTAGGTTTATTGTTAGTCAAAGTGTAGCATCTTTGTGGAACTATTTGAACATATTGATTAAAATATTCATAAAATTTGATTCAAAAATTTAATTCTAGGAAATAATGACACTATCATAAATATAGAAACAGATTTACAAGACTATTCACTGTACTGTCATTTCAGTATTGACATTTTAGGAAAAAATCCTGCCCACCAACAGGAAACAGGTTAAAGAAATATTGATTATTCACAGGTTCATCTACTCTAAAGCTATTAAAATATATTTTATAACAATAATCAATGGCTTTGAAATAATGACACATTTAGATGCAGTAAAGGAAAAAAGAAAAAAAGTAAAATTATCAACTGTGTTTTTATTTTTTCAATTTTTCAAAATATTGACAATTTTTTGGAGTGCTATATATTCTGGATTTTTCTAATCTCTTGCTGTATAAACTCCAGGTTACTGTATTGAAGATGACCAGATATTGCTTGTAGATATTTTAAATGGTTTCTTAATCCTAAATTTTAAGTCTGTCATTATAGCTGAATAGATAAGATAAGTAAAAATACACTTATTCTTGTGTATTAATTAAGTTGGTGGTCTTATTTCATTTTTTTTTGCATGTTACTGTCCAGTTTTCTCCAAATGGATAGAAGACTTAAATATAAGTTATATTACATGATATTATTCTTACAATGTCATTATAATTTTTCCCAGATTTGTGTTACCCCCATTACCTATAATAGTACCTCGCACCCTTGGGTATCAATAAAAATCATCTTTTTGGTGCTTTGAGACAAAGGTAACATATCTCTAGATATTTTAGAATTACAACAGCATAATATACAATTATCCCAAACAAACTTACAAACTTTGAATGTCTGACAGCAATTTAAAAATGACATGAAAGTATTTAATCCCTTCCACTGTGTAGAGGGCCTCCTGGGAAGGCACCTGAGGATTCTATATTTGCCCCCTTGCCCTTTTGACCAAGAGGGACCCTCTTCTCACAATCCAATTGTTTACAGCTGTTGCCTGAGCTTTCTGTTCATGCCGAGGTTGAAGCCTCTGGGTAGCTGGTACCATGGATCTGTCTCTTGCCCAGTGGGGCGAGCTGGGCCCTCCCTGGAGAAGAAACCTGGGTTTCACAAGTTATGTGATCAATGCTGGGGCCGTGCCAGCATGCGAGGGGATCCCAAGGCAGGTGCTGGGCATGCAGGCCACAGAGGAATAGGCTTCCAAGGAGACAGAACTGAACCTCACATCACCCTGCTTGGCCCCAGAGGATGGCTGTTTAGCCAGAGACAGGTACGATTCCACAGGGAAGGAACAACCTAAGATAGGCACAGCACAGAGGGGCCATCAGGAGAGAACTTGGGGTTCAACAGAGGTGAGGCATAGACCTTCACACCCCAACTTTGCAGGGGCCTGAACCCTCACCCCTGCTGAGGGAGGTCTCCTGCCCCCATGGCTGCTTAGCTTCCCATGCCCAGCTCAAATCCAGACCCAGGAAACAGACAGAGACTTGGCCAACAGCACCTGCCCTCTCACTGCAACAAGATTTGTTTGAATCATCTTGTACCCATGATGTGGGAAACTGGGGTTTTAGATATCTATACCCAGCCTAGCAACAGAAATGCTCAGGGCCTACTCAAGAAGGCAAATCATCCTTTCCACTAATATTTACAGGGTAAAATAAGATGTTTGTTAGAGTATTAATTTTTTTTATAGTAAAGTGTTCTGCTTTTATTTATTTATTTATTTATTTTCTCCATTTTTTTATTGATTATAGTATCACATAATTGTCCTCATTCCCCCAATCCCATCCCAAACCCCTCCCTACATATGCCCTTCCCCTCCTCCCCCCCCTCCACGTTGTCCATGGCCACTGGCTAGGCCCATATGCATGCACACAAGTCCTTACTGATTCATTTGCCTCTCAGCATAACCATTATGGCTTTTCTCAATTTAGAGTATTAAATTTGACAGTAAAATAGTAGTCAAGTTTTCAGGCTGATTTAAATTGGCTAATTGAAAAATAAGCAAATATTCTAGAAAAAATCAAGTGTACTGGACAAAAAAAGCTGTTTCTAAAGTGTTAATTAAAAATTTTATTGGTAGTTCATCTCATGGTAAAATTGCATAACATGTAATGAACCTAAAGCAGTCATATTTTAGTGCAAAAAATTAAAATTTGAAAGCTATCAAGATAACATTATAAAATTTCCAAAAGCCTCCTAATATTTAAATAAAAAGGGGGGATAGTAGAAGAATATCATCTAAGGAAAAATATCCTGTAAGTAAATTACATCTAGAAAATTTGTACTTTAGAAAATTAACTTTCATTTGTTATGCTAACAGTAAGACACCCATGGAAAACATACATGGTCTCAAAACAACCAGAGGAAAATTATTTGGGCAAAAAATGAAAAAGAATCACAAGTCAAATTTATAGAAAAGATTCCTTTATTAACTTTTGGTCAAGAATATGTTTGTATATTTTCAGAAAACAACTCTGAGACCATGTGGATTCCTGCAACAAAGAGGAATTGACAGGAGTGCTCCAGCCATGAAGACAGAAGAGAAACAGTCCAGAGATGGAAGATGCTAACGATGTCTTGCTATGCATACTAGCAGTCAGCAGCTGTGTGTCACTGCAGGCTGCCCAGGACCAATCCAAAAAGGGTTGGACCTGCATTACCACCATTTGTCCACCATCCAGAACTGAAATATCATTGCTGACATGTACACATGGGGAACTGTTTGACATAGAAATTGGGACTTAAAGAACTGTTGGCCCAGAAAGAAACTCACTACAGACTGATTCATTTGCCTCTCAGCATAACCATTATTGCTTTTCTCATTTCGGTTCTTACAAGTGTATTTCTAGTATCACTAGAGCTCACCCATCTAGGGGAAATGATGAATGACATAGACAGATGAACAAGAACAGCATTGATCAGACTTTTGGACTTCAGAGGAAAGGTATTGGAGGGTGGGGATAAGGGAAAGAGATCAACCAAAAGACTTGGGTGCATGCATATGAACTTAACCAGTGATCATGGTCAAGAAGCGGGTGAGGGCATGCGTGGGGAGGGGTTTGGGATGGGAATGGGAAGTGATGACAAATATGTGGTACCTTAGTCAATAAAGTAATAAAAATGTTTATATATTAAAAATATGTAAGTTATGAAGCAATAAAAATCCTAGAAGAAACTATAGGTAGCAAAATTTTAGACATATCATAGTAATATGTTTGCTAATGCATCTCTTAGGACAAGGGAAACAAAAGAGAAAATAAATAAATGGGACTACATAAAAATAATAATAATAGCCAGAACCGGTTTGACTCAGTGGATAGAGCGTCGGCCTGCGGACTGAAAGGTCCCAGTTTCGATTCCGGTCAAGGGCATGTACCTTGGTTGCGGGCACATCCCCAGCAGGGGGTGTGCAAGAGGCAGCTGATCGATGAATCTCTCTCATCGTTGTTTCTAACTCTCTATCCCTCTCTCTTCCTCTCTGTGAAAAATCAATAAAATATATTAAAAAATAAAAATAAAAAAATAAAAAAACTTCTGCACAACAAAAGAAACCAACAACAAAATGAAAAGGGAGACCACTGCATGAGAGAACATATTTGCCAGTGATACATCTGATAAGGGGTTGATATCCAAAATATATAAGTAACTGATGCAACTTAACAAAAGAAAGGCAAATAATCCAATTAAAAAATGGGCAAAGGACTTAAACAGACACTTCTCCAAAATGTACATATAGATGGCCAAGAAACATACTAAAAATGCTTAGTCACTGAACATCAGAGAGATGCAAACTAAAATGACAATGAGGTACCACCTCACACATGTCAGAATGTCTACCATCAACAAATCAACAAATGACAAGTGCTAGCCAGGATGTGGAGAAAAGGGTACTCTCATACAATGATGTTGGGAATCCATATTGGTTCAGGCTCTGGAAAACAATATGGAATTTCCTCAAAAATTCTGACCCAGTGATCCTACTTCTAGGAATATATTCTAAGAAATCAGAAATACTCATTTAAAAATAATATATGTACCCCTATGCTTATAGCAGAACAATTTACAATAGCTAAGATTTGGAAATAGTTTAAGTGCCCATCAGTAGATGAGTGGATTGACAAATGGAATACTTCATAGATGTACAAAAGAAATAACTCTTACCATTTGCAACAGCACTGATGGACCTGGAAAGCATCATGCTAAGCAAAATAACCCAGTCAGAGAAAATTAAGTATCATATGATCTCACTCTCATGTGTAATCTAATAAACAACATAAACTGATGAACAAAAATAGATGCAGAGACATAGAAGAGAAGAATAGAATAGACTGTCAAATTTGAGAGGGAAGGTGGGGGAAGGTGGACACAGACAATAGGGTGGTGAAGGCCTAAGCTGGGGTTGGGGTGGTATGGGAGAGGTCAATGGGGAAGAAAATGGGCATGTGTAATGCTTTCAACAAGAAAGATGAAAGAAAGAAAGAAAGAAAGGAAGAAAGAAAGGAAGGAAGAAAGGAAGGAAGGAAGGAAGGAAGGAAGGAAGGAAGGAAGGAAGGAAGGAAGGAAGGAAGAAATGATGTCACTATATCACATAGGACCTCACCAATGTTTATGCAGTTGCTTATATTTTACTTTTGAAAATACAAAAAATATAATAATTCCTTTAGCTCTAATATGTTTTTTAAATGACAAGAATTTTTCATTGCTCTTATAATTTCTGTGTCCTTTCCTTTAAGATGAAATTGGTATTTTGAAATATTGGACTTTATGTCCACTTGTATATGGAATTAATATCTCCATATCTTCAATTTAAAATATTTTCTTTAGCAAAAGGCCATTTGGCAAGAATTGTTCTTTTGAACCCCAATAGCTCTTGAATTGTTACTGTCATGTTAAAATCCCTGGAGCTGTTTTGTACCATTTGAAATTGTATGTAAAAATAAAGCTATTATTAATCTGAAACTCTTTTTCTCAACTGGAATTCTGCCGGAGGTCTAACAGGTTTTATTTTAAATCCTACTTCTAAAGAGAGGAGTTTGCACACAAGCCCTGACATTTTGAAAGCTAACCTCCATGGTGTGTGCATGAAATTTTGAATCCTTTCTACATCTGTTATCTATTTGAAAATTTTGACCCGAAGGTACAAAACATTTGAATTACAGACCATATGGAACATCTGGGAAGTTCTCATTCCCACTTGGCGAACCATAACTAAACCCCATCTCTTCCTAGTTCATTACTTCACTCACTAATGACTAGGCTACACCAGGTCTGTTTCAATCCCCCTTTCTGGCTCAGTAGCCCCCTAAGCCTTTTATTTCCCGCTGTCTCGAATGCTGCTTCACTTACTCCCCTCCACCTCATTTACTGTAATGATAACTCATCTTCCACAAATTATTTGCTTCAGTTAAATATCCAGGAAGGCCAGACACCAACAACTCTTTGTACCTCAAATTAAATGACCACTTGTGAGCACACCAACTCCCGAAACCACTAGAGATACTTTTCTTTCATATGTCTCACATTTATATAAGGGGCTATAAAATTTTTTGCCTAGAATATATGTATACCTTACCAATTTGATACCAATTTAACTGTTTTACTATTTACATTAAGTTTTTCTCTCAGCATTCAAAGATAACAACAAGGATAAGTTACCTTTACAGCATTTTTATATTTCATATTGCTCATTCATTTTGAGGAGAGGTTCAGAGAAGGAGAGGTTATTGCATATGCAGCAAGCAACTTCTTTAGGATCTTCTTTTGATTATTTTATTTATTATTGTGCTTTCTCTCCAACATTCTCCTCTGCAAAGTGATAGATCCTCCCTTCCCCCAACTGATGGATGGAGAATGACGTAAACTGCACCTGCATCCTGGACATTCCTGAGCACCTAACCAGACACCTTATATGGACTGTACATTGCACCACCAATCAGCACCTGCCAAATACCCTAAGCCCCTGATTCCTAAGTCCCTAAGTCCCTAATCATGTGCCTTATATGAAACCTCCAATCAGGGCATGCCTAGTACCCTAAGCCCTATCCCTTCCCTTTCCTCCCCTCAAAAGGCATGTTCACTCCTGCATGTGTGCTCTCTTCCTTTGCAAGGCAGCCCGGCAAGGTCCTTCTCCTCCAATAAAGCCTGTAGCCCTGGTCTTTGGCTCTGTCTCACTTTTCACAAGCTTTTTCACTTCCAGCCAATTCTACTTGCTCTTCCTTCTAATTAAATATTTGATAAAGTTTTAGAATGCAAGTAATGGCTGTGGATATAGGAGTCAGCCATGGAGAAAGGGCAGGGAGGTTGAAGAAAACAATGAGAATTTTATAAAATTTTAAATGGAA